TGTATATGGCCGAATTTGTCCCACTTCAAAATTCCGAATCTACCTCGAAGGTACTTTTTTTAGTTTTCATTTTTTCTACAAATCTTCTAAAAACATTATTGGTCTGTTCCAGTACTTTTTTAATAGTAAAGCTAGTAAAAGAGAAACATTTCAAAATCGCTCTCAGAGTACACAATAATTTGAAAAGTTCGGGAACGGAAATCTAGTAAATATGCCAAAATTAGATGGCAATACTTCTAAATCAACATAACAGCCATGGTATAATAATAGAAGGTAACAGCAAGTGTTGTTGTACAACAAAGGATACAACAACCACATGGAAATTTGTTGTTGTAAGTTATACTAGTGTCAACGTCTTTTGACAGAAAAATGTAAACAAACACACAAATTATATTTATTTTGAAAACGAAATATTTTGGAATCCTCAAAATAAAAATTGAAAAACATGAATGAACATGATATCAAATTTATATTTCTATCGCTTCCACATCTTTCCTATAATTAAGCCATTGCCACTTATATGTGTCACACGTATGAAAACGCAGGGAATTGCGAGTTATTCCATGAAGAAAGATTTGCTTCCTCCAATTTTCCCACTAGGCAGATTGAGTAAATTGAATACGGGAGCACATTTAATAAAGAACAATTACAACTTGTATTCATATTGACACTAGTATTACGTTGGAATCAAATCAGCTGGGATTCCCTGTTACCTTTTATAATTGTACCATGCATAACAGCCAATCAGAAGTAGGCATTTCTGTTTAACATTTTTACTCGGCCAAATTTCCCGAGTAAAAAGTTTACAAAAATAACGCCATTTTATTTTGTGCTCTCTTACATTTGATTCAATGTTTTACCAGTTTTGTGGGTTGGGAAACAGTTTGCGAGTAAAAAGTTGCAATACAGTATTTTTCGGTTAATTGACCCTACGTTTAATTGGTTTCCACGCTTAAATGAACCACATGATGGAGCAAAAAATATTTCATAGGAAAATACATGTAAATTTTCTCGGATAATTAAACCCTGTTAATTGATTTTTCCGATTGCATAATAATAATTGAACAATAATCTGCCCTTTTTTTACATACATATTTGACATAATTTGTGAAAAAGACTAGGCGGCATAAGGAAAAACATCGAGAAAGCGTAATTTGTATTTGACATTGTATTTTTTTAAATCATTAGTATTTCTAATTATACGTGATTACTATTATTGAACAAACTATTCAATTAAGCGGGTTCGAATAATTGGTTCCTCGGTTAATTGAACGAAAATTTGTGCAAATTTTGATTTGCAATTAACCGAGAAATACTGTACTTGTAAAATTAGTAGATTCTTTTAGGTTCTGGAACGGAACTTAATTTTTAATTATTTTTATAAGAATGCACATTGTAATTAACAATTTTTTAATAATACACCTAAGTCTGGTTTTACACGGTCTTTTTGTACACGGTTATGATATAATAGGTTTGAAAATTGAATATTTTTTAATTTTTTTACACGATTTTACTCCATTTAGCACGATTTAAAATTTTATGTACTTAATTATTTTTGCCAAATTTAATTTTTGCGAAGTATGTTCATACCACAAAAAAGTATTTATGAAAGAAAAAAGTCTGAAACCATCGATAGTTTGCGAACACTAGCTTAAAGATTTAAGTCCCCTTCAGCGCGTACAAACAATTTTTACTGGTCAAAGCAAATGTGAATAGCACTAATTTAGGAGAATTCCCTTTATGTGCATACAATAAAATTTACTGGTCAGAGCAATTGAAACGTGTTAATATTTTGTGAACTGTCAATGCAATTAGACGTGTTTGGTAAAGAAATTTTTTACAGGCAAATTTGATTTTCCATTAAATTTAATTTTAACGCATTAATATAAAAGGTAAGCCAAAAAATATTTTGTATTTATTCAGTTATTTATGTTTTTTTTTTTTTTTTAATTTTGTTACATATTTTATGTGCAATTTATTTGGAACAAATCGCCAAATCACATTTTTGTATAAAATCAATGTCTTTTTTACACTGTTTTTTTTACACGGCTTCTTCTGGAACCAATCTACCGTGTAAAAACAGACTTAAAAAGTGGAAAGTTTTAAACAAGGAATTCTTACGAAATGGAATGGACATGTGTATTACCAAAAAATCTGTAAAAATACAAACAACCGTGCATCTAAATGAGTTTATTAGCTAGAGACTTCAAACTTTCCTATAGTTATTTATTTTGATATTCGATACCTTTGTATCGAAGCTAGTGATGTACAGTGAGAGCTTCATATCGAAAACGTGATTGCCGAATGTACCCCAAAATTCTCGGGTCACATTCGAAAGCGTATTCAAATCGTCCACACAAACCACAGCTATCTTCTATAAGTTAAAATGTAGGAACAAGGTTGAAAAGTGACAACGTGCAAAATGTCTGCCCAGAAAGTGGTACAAGTCGCTCTTATTCAATTTCCCTTCGAAGCTTATTCCACTTATTCCGGAAGATTTGTGTCTACAGCCGCGGAAGAATAACTACATATTAAACAAATACAATAACAACAAAAAGTACCCAAATAATGAGGGTCAATAATTATAATTTTTGGTAGGGAATTTTTCTATATAATCTCCATCGAACATGAGTTGCCAGCTGGAAGGTACCACTTTGTTATAAATTACAGATCTTTTACAAGCAAAATAACATTGTACTGGATTTCGTTAACCCTGTGGGTTTAAATTGTAAATTCTTTTGAATATATGCCAAATAATCTTCATAAAGCAGGTTAATACGGTAAAAAGTTCTAATGTAAATGCCGTTTAACCCTTTGGGGTCCGAATTTTTTTCAGTAATCATAGAACAATTTTCTGTTCGCAGATTTAATGCAACTATATTTAATAGGATATGAACAAAATTTGACATCGCTTCAGCATCGAATTCGGGAGATACATTATTATTATTATTATTATTTATTTTTTTTTTTGAAGAATAAAAGTCCAATATCAAGAAAACCAAATGCAAAATCGACGAATACATAATTTTTAATTCTTCTCTATATTATTTTTTACAAGAATCAAAAATAATTCTAATTGGAGAAGTCGTACAATTCGAATACGAAACGATTTAAATAATTTGGACTGTATACACAAATTAGTACTGTACACATTTTGCCCTCTTTTTATATTGAAAAGCTCATAACTTTACCGAAAATTTGATTTTTTAGATTTTTCTTTTGATATGTGTCGTCTATAATCAGGACTTGACATATGAAATCCAAGGAATATATGTCTACAAGCAGCATATTAAATATAAGCTCTGCAACATTTTGTTGCCTGTGAGCAACATTGGGCCACAAAGGGTTAAAATAATTTGGACTGTATACATAAATTAGTACTGTACACATATTTGGTTTGAAAAGCTCATAACTTCACCAAAAAATTGGTTTTTTATCTTTTTCTTTTGGTATGTGTGGTCCATGGACAAGATGTCTACTAGCTGTATATTAAATATAAGCTCTAAAACATTTTGTTGCCTGTGGGCAACATTGGACCATAAAGGGTTAAATGACCTTGAGCTTAAAACGACATGTAAAATAGAACTGTTTGCAGGGTTAACCTACTTTATGAGGATTTATTTGACAAATATGTCATGGTACAATTATAAAAGGTAACAGCAAGTCCCAGCTGATTTGATTCCAACGTAATACTAGTGTCAATATGAATATGACAAATTATGTTTTTAAAAATCACCCAACAGGAAAATTGGAACGTATACAATTTGAAATTGTTCTTTATTGAATGTCCTCCCATTTTCAATCTACTCAATCTGCCTGCTGGGAAAGTTTGAGGGAGCAAATCTTTCTTCAAGGAACAACTCGCTATTCCCTGCATTTTCATATGTGTTACACATATATATGGCAATGGCTCAATTATAGGAAAGATGTGGAAGCCATAGAAATATAAATTTGATAGATTTTCATTCATGTTTTTCAATTTTTATTTTGAGGATTCGAAAATATTTCACTTTCAAAATAAAAATATTTTGATGATAATTTGTTTGTTTACATTTTTCTGTCAAATGAGTTGACACTAGTAGAACTTACAACAACAAATTTCCATGTGGTTGTTGTATCGTTTTTTGTACAACAACACTTGCTGTTACCTTCTATTATTATACCATGCAAATATGTAATGGAATTGACAATTAAAACCCACTGGGTTAACGAAATCCGGTTAAATGTAAACGTAATACAATAAAATGGAAATCTAAGAAAACTTAAAGATCAAAGGTAAAAAATCACATACGAATCAAAAATACTTTTGAGGGTACAATTCGGACTGCATACACAAATGTTACTGTATACATTTGCCCTCAAATACATATTGGAAAGCGCATCATTTGACCATTTTTTTTATTTTTAGATATGTCTTTTGGTATGTTTCGTCCATCATCCTATCTTGACATATGCAATCGAAAAATATATATTAATTAACTTTAAATATAAGCTCCAAAACATTTTCTAGTCTGTGGGCAACATTGAGCCACAAAGGGTTAACTTCGTGACAGTATATTTTAAACAAAGATTTAAACCTAATAAATAAACACAGCATTAAAAGTGTGTTTTTCTTTGGGACAAAATATTTACATGCATTTTATCTATATATATGAATTACCCAGTATTTGTCATTTTAGATACGTATTTATTAAAGAATCCAATAAATAAATGACAACACACTCTAACTAACTACTTGTCACCAGGGGTCGCTTCGCAATGAGAATAATTGCGAAATTTTGTGTTTGACAGTTCGCGCCAAAACAACAGGCGTCTTCTGTCAACAATTGCGTGTTGTAAATTTCACAAAGGCAAATTTTTGCAATACACGTCGTAGCAGCAGCACATTTTAAAAATAAAAGCCGACAGGAGCGGTTCGAAGGATTTGTGTTCGTGTGTGGAGAAATTAAATTAAAATACATTATATCGAAATTTTATAGTGTTTATTTTTCTAAAAAGAATATACAAATAAAACTCCAAGATGTTTGAAGCCCGTTTAATTAGTGCTACCATTCTCAAGAAAATCTTGGATGCCATCAAAGATTTGCTAAATGAGGGAACCTTTGACTGCAGTGATTCGGGAATACAGGTAAGATGAAATAAATGTCATTCATAAAGGAAAATGAAAGTTTATAACTTGTTTGTTGTTTCCATAACAGCTCCAGGCTATGGACAATTCCCACGTATCATTGGTTTCCCTGACATTGCGTTCGGATGGCTTTGACAAATTCCGTTGTGATCGTAACATTTCGATGGGCATGAATTTGAGCAGCATGGCAAAAATCTTGAAGTGTGCCAACAACGATGATACAGTTACCATCAAGGCCCAAGATAATGCCGACACTGTCACCTTTATGTTTGAATCGCCAAATCATGAAAAAGTCTCCGACTACGAAATGAAACTTATGAATCTCGACCAAGAACATTTGGGCATTCCAGAAACAGAATACTCATGCGTTGTACGTATGCCTTCGATTGAATTTGCACGCATTTGCAGAGATTTGGCACAATTCAGTGAATCCATGGTAATCTGTTGCACCAAGGAAGGTGTGAAATTCTCTGCATCTGGTGATGTTGGTTCGGCCAATGTTAAATTGGCACAAACATCAAGCGTGGACAAAGAAGAGGAAGCTGTCATAATTGAAATGCAGGAACCCGTCACCCTTACATTTGCCTGTCGTTACCTGAATGCTTTTACCAAGGCCACGCCTTTGTCCGGCCAAGTACAGTTGTCCATGTCGGCAGATGTTCCATTGGTGGTTGAATATCGTATTCAAGATTTGGGTCATGTGCGTTATTATTTGGCGCCTAAAATTGAAGATGACGAAAGTTAAACATCTTCCGTCCAGGTGTTTACAAAAATACTTCCTCTCACAGCATTTCCTATGCACTTTTATATACCTGTTAAGCGGCTTGGTCATGTCACAATTTCCATCTAAATTGTTATGTTATACAAAAGAATAAATAGGGTTTTCAAAAGATGAAGTCTATTTTATATTTTTTATATATGTATGTATTTTAAATATAAGTCATTATTTTTTCAGATTTCTCTGCACATTAATTATACACATACGTTTGGAATGTTTCTTTTGATTTATTGTTTCTAAAAATCTGTAAAATAGATTTGGAAATTATCGTTAGAATCACCAATTCATCAACATAAATAGAAATAAAATCTTTACAAAACAAAAAAAAAAACTTGGTTTGTTTTTTTTATTTTAATAATAGAATGTTTTATAAACAAGACAGTACGAATTTTTAAAGAAAAAAATCCATAAATAGAACATTCTTGCAGGTTCTAGAACAGATTAAATATTATTGAAGGCCCAATCTTTGGACCACAATTTAAAACTTTCTAGCGATGTTTTAGCATTTGTCGGTATCGGAGCAAAGATACCACACTTCTCTTTTCCTTTCATCTATATCTAACCCTATACATAAATATCAATGTAAGGATAACTTCGGCTAACAGCAACGTGATTATATGAACTTATGATTTGTGTATTTGTCTAGAGACCAATTGTAGAGAGGCACTAACAACCAATGTTGATGTGAATGCAATCCAACATATCAAAGTCGTGTATATATTAAACGCTTCCTAAAAAATATGCTTACACTTCCTAAAAATATGCTTCACAACTAAGTGAAGCTATGCAAACACTTTTCTTGGTACCTTTTCCTAAAAAGTCCACCATAGGGTATTGACATTTGACTGTTGCGAGTTCTGATGTAATAATGAGCGGGATCATAATATAAAGAGATATACCAACAGATGGACTAATATTGATTACATCTGGCAGGAAATACCGAAGGACTATACCTAAATGTGGGCCGATATTTCAAAGCTAACCTTTATGTTTTGTATCTCGATCCTTGACTTCACGCTAAGTGTTTTAAATATTTAGAAAATCTGGAAATACCATTATATGGGAGGCTAAATGTGGACCGATAAAACCATCGACTATACACTGGTTGTATAACACAGTGGTAAAGTCCATCCTTTCCTATGGTTCTCTTGTTTGGTGGTACTGCTTGCGCCACAAGTCGACTTCCAGCAAACTATACAAGTGTTACGGCTCCATACAAGAATTTGATCGGCACATCCGACTAGCTATCGGCCCCAGGGAGGTCCATAACCCGCCAACCAAATCAGGGCCTAACAAGAATTATTTTCAACATGTATAAACACGAAACAAAAGGACTAACATTACACACACGGAGAACATTGTGATGATTCTGGGTCCTTGGTGGCCGGACCCTCACCTGCCCTCCCTTCCATGGTCCACAGGTCCTCTCTAACATTTATGTGGACCCCAAATACTCCTCGAGTTCGATTCCCCCTCCTACAACGTTTTCACCCCTCCCAAATGATTAATGTCTACTCCATATTCATTTTTACTATATCTCTAAACATATAAATTTATTCATTCTAAAGCATAGTGAATAACAAACAAAACGAACTCACTTATGCTTACCGACAACAATCTCGAACACAAACAAAATATAGAACAGTTTACTTAACACCTATCATGAATTAGGACCTTCAATACTATAGTACTAGGGTTATCGGAATGTTCCTCCGATCCGATTTGACTATGCTTCCTGATGTCCTACCTAATTGAGCTCAGTTAGTCAGTTATATCAGTAGCTTGACACACTCTAGTCTCTTTACCACACAAATACCCTTAGACTTATGTATTGGAATGCCCTTTACAAATAAACAAAATCAATAAAAATCTTATAAATACTAGTTAAAATTGCTAAAAAAAAATATAATTAAAAGTTATGTTACTAAAAAAAAATGCAAATAGATAAATATTGACTTAACTTAATAGCTATATCGTCATTTATGTTTTTTCAGCGCCTAACGGACGGCTACACTTTTTGATGCCAGCAAATAGCCAGTCGTACACCGCTGTGCTATATTTTACACAGCACAAAAAAAAATGCCTAATTTTACATAAACGGCAATCGCTGACCGACTCGTATTTATATTTCTTTACGGGCTTTTGTTATATGCAGTCCTACCTGGATGTTGCTATACTTATCCAGCCTTGTCTCACAATGACCACTAGCTGCGCCAGTTCACTATCACTCGCTTCGGGTTAGAAAATTTTCCCCTCTTACGCCAGTGTATTTTATTTGGGTATATTTAATTGTTTCTATTTTTTTGGTTATAATTTGGTGTTTAAATTTTTACTCCACAGTGCGTGTTAAATCAAAATGTCTTTCTTACTTTCTCCTACTTTTCCATCGATGTTCCCCTTTTATATGTGACTTTCCCGATTCCCATATATTCCCTAATTTCCCATGTCATTGCTACTCTATGTTGTTCCCTTTTTTTCCTTTTAATTTATTTGTTGTTAAAATATTCATTTTTGGCAACCATTATTTAAAATGTGTTGTTTTTGCCATCCAGCCGCCCGTCATAGTTCAGGGATGGTAAACTTTTGCAGTGTACTTTTTAGTACCCGCTATGTACCAACGCCCGGTATGCTTGACAGCTGACGTTGGGTTGACATTTGATAGTATGACATTGAAATCATAACAAACCGCATACATTTTCTTTTGCCCGAAACACACAACTCAATTTCGACATTTATTCAGAGGAATTGCAGGAGAATTTTAAGGAGTACCTGATACAACGTTGTTGCTCCAGCGTCGGTTTGTACTTTTTGGGCTTCCTGTGATTTCTGCGGCCGACATGCATGTATCTGTGCGACTACAATGCATTCTTTTATTTGCCGCCACGTTATGCCCAGGAGTAGATGACTGACCTGATTGCTTGGCTTGCTTTATCCCAGCCGCAACAAAACTCCTTATGTGACGAGCACGCGAAGGAACATATGGTGTGCGGAATGGTTTATCTTGGACTTATGCGTTGCGTAGAGACCAACGTGGGGAACTCCCACTCCCTGATGTCTCATCGGCCGGGCAATTTGATACGGATCTATTAGGGAAGTAATTTTCGTGGGTGGCTGTATATACAAGATCATTTACTTTTTGGGTTTTGTTTTAGAATCCCCCGGGAATCCGTCATACTATTAAAATCTGTAATTTACTGGATTTAGTGAATAAAGTTGGTTGGCAGTAACTGGGTGCCCACTTTTGGATGTTTATAGTGAGTATAAATCGTGATATAATCTAACTCTACACGCATAGGACATTCACAATATTGTTACTTATCCTATATTGCACATAGTTTTATATCACCATCATGTTCTGGCCGAGAGGTGTATCACAGTTGAAATATCACATTTTTAGGTCTTTAGCGTGGACCATACCTAATGGTCGACCCTGAAGATCCTCGATTTCATACATATTGTTCCCAACGAGTTTGTTTATACGTACTTTTGTGAATTTTCGTGAAAACTTTGCATTTATATTCTTTTGAAAATCACTAAGTGTATAATTCCTGCGAAATGCTTCTTGGCCGGGAGCAAATTTGATCACCCTTGATCTTTTATTGTACCGCCTTGCACTGGCCTCATATGCTTTGTGCATGTTTTGCTTAATTGTATCTCGTATGAGAGATAATCGGTCATTTGCCTTTAATTGGAGTATTTCATGGTCAGTTAGGGATTTCAATTTCCTTGCTAAATTATAGTCAGACCCTTTTGTGTACATGTGGTACCCAAATAATGCGAAAAAAGGTGTTACACCGGTGGCCGCATGAACAGAAGTTCGGAGTGCACACTCGATTTCCGACAGGTACAGATCCCAATCTCTATGATCTCCTTCCATATAGGCTCTGATTGCGGCCAGAACGGATTGATTAACCCGTTCTGACGCATTCGATTGAGGGGAATATGGAGCTGTCTGCATATGTTTTATTTGATATGCCATTATCATATCCTTAAACAGCTTAGAGTGGAACTGTGCACCATTGTCGCTGTGCACCGTTTCTGGAACTCCGAACTTCCTAAATATTTCTTCAATTAGAAATGTTACGACGTTATTCGCCGTCGCCTCTTTCATACATTTCAGGAATACGAACTTCGAAAAGTGGTCCATGACTATGAAAATGTAGGCATTTCCACTTTTCGACCGAGGGTATTTACCTAAAAAATCTATATATATCTTTTGAAACGGCCTTTCAGTTTTGACCTCATTGCCAATCGGCGGTTGGGTATTATAGTTAACGCTTTTTGTCTCTTTGCACGTAATGCATTTACTGATGTACTGCCTGACTTGCGTCACCATGTTGGGCCAATAAAATTGTTGCCTAATTCGGTTGAGAGTTTTGGACACGCCCCCATGAGCAGCTATGGGCGAATCGTGGGCTTTCTGAATGAGTGTGTGAGTTAAGGAATCGGGAACCCATACTCTCCACTCATACTCCCCTAACATTTCATTTTGGTTGGGGTTCATTCGCTTAAAAATTATCCCATCTTTTACTTTTAAGTCAGGAAGTCGGTCTTGGTTAGCCTCAATACTGCTCTTTAAATCTTTATATTCACCGCTGTCAAAGGCAGTTGTTTCACAGTCGAACATCTGCTCCAAATCTAATTCATCTATCGTAGGGAGTCTTGATAACGTGTCAGCCACAACGTTTTCTTTGCCTTTACGATGTACTATTTCGAAACGGTACGATTGTAGCTGTAATGACCAGCGAGCGAGACGGCCACTTAAATCTTTCAAACTCATAAGCCACTGCAAACTTGCGTGGTCTGTTATGACAGTAAAGTCCATGAGTTCCACATATGGACGGAACTTTTTCACTGCCATAACAGCCGCAAGACATTCTTTTTCCGTAACACTGTAGTTTCTTTGGCTCGAATTGAGCTTTTGAGAGTAAAAGGCTATTGGGTGTTCGTCTCCCTGGTCATTGAGC